CCCCTGTTCTTCCGATCAGTTGAGCCAAGAGCACTCCGCCTTACGTATACCTGCATCAAGGGTCGCCTCTGGGGCTTTGGTGCTACATGACTCAGGTATCCTGCACTTAGATTACTTTGGCGACGATGACTGGCTCACCATGAAACAGGTTGCGGCCGGTCTTGGCTCCCCTTTAGCCGCAGTGTGTGTCGTTGCCGCGTTCCTGCCTCCTGGGTTATCCCTAGTGCACAGGGGGAAGCATGTTCGGGGCGTTCTTGGTGTCTCTCCCCGCGTTGCCGGCGGTGGGATAGAGAAGCTATCTACCGCTTTCCTTGATTGTCGCCCGCTTGGACGAGGGTTTGCTCTCTACACTTCTACTCAGGGTTTTGTGACTCGTACTGAGCTGTATGCCGCCTTATCACTTCCGCCGAGTCCTGGGTGGCTCCTTGCAGTTAGTGGAGGTAGGCTCAGCAGGCGAGGCTTTGTGTTCTACCACGGAGAAGTCCTTACTCTTGCCCTAGTTAGAGAGCCGACTGCAGCTGCGGGTCTTTCCTGTGCCTCTCCTTCTTCCGAGTCTGATCCCTCAGAAGGTGACAGGGATATAGGACATCCTGCCCTGGGACAGCTTGGTGATCCCTGTGCTTCGGTCCATTGCGAGCCGACTGAGCAGCCGCCTTCTCTTGCATGCAAAACGCCCTCTGAGGGTACAGGCAACCTTGCCTTGGCGGTTCAGGCTATGCAAGATCAGGACGCTGCCGGTCATTTGCCGGCCCCATTTCACCGTATTGGAGATGACCCCCCGCGCGCTGACGGGCCCATGCATGGTGCAGACGACGAAGGTACGGACGATGATTCTGACGACACTTGGCATCCAACCTTCTTAGTGTATGCCATGCACACCATTCCAGAGGAAGTCCGTGTTACCCTTCGAGCACCCTGTGGCTTGGAGACAGCGCGGGGCGCTGTCCTGGCTGCCATGTCAGCAGTCCGCAGCAGGTATTACCCTCACATCCTTTTCGCGGACCCCCAACCGACCCAATACTGGGGCACCGCCATTTCCTTACCGCTGTGGGCTCGGAGCGAACCAGTGATTCTGCTGAATCTTTCTGAGCTAGACGACAGATGTTTTGTGGCCTCTGTTGCCAGTCCCTTTACCCGGGACCATATCCTCCGTGCCGCCGGACTACCACCCGACGCCGAGGTGGACGTCTTCCCATTCAGGTCCCACATCCCACTGCATCCCGGACAGGAGTGTGAACTCGTAGTTGGGGGTACCGTTACTGTCCGGCGGGGGGGATCGCGCTGGGTCGTCCAGGGGTTCTGGACGATGTTGGTGTCTCCGCATTGTTGGGACCCCATGCCACAGATCCCAGCACCACCGCGAGGACACCGTGTCCTCGTGGTCCAAGACGCAGCTTTCGGCTATGTTGCCACCGACGTCCCGGACGACTCCTTGCAGTCAGTCGTTTTGCAAGAGCACGGCGTTGTTGAGGGCGGCGTACATTTTACACTTGGGACTCCCAATCCTGGAGATCTTGAGTACCTGGGCTTTTTTTGCGAGCGACTTTGCGCTTTCGCCCATGTTGGCGGTGCAACGACACAATCGCCAATGCCGTCGGGTGTCACACTTCTTGACTGCAGGCCTCTGCTTCAGGGGTGGACGCTTTGGCCCTCGGCTAATTCTCGTTTGGCAGCCGCAGGTAGAAGGTGCAGAGATTAATAATGAAACAGGGGACTTAGCAGTCTTCGATGGTTGTGTCCTTATCGCCGAATACGTGCCCACTTCCTCAGCCGAATTTCCTGCAAGCCCAGCTGGCTGTCTGGGCCTTAATGAAGCCATTGAGGACGAGGGGTCCGAGTCTGAGGATTCTCACGACCCTAGCATCGGCAACTCTCTTGCGCAAAGGACTACATCCAGAAGCCGCAGCAGATCGCCCCGTCGGGGACCAGCGCCTCCTGGTTCTTGTGTCCATGGATGTTTCGCCTGTGCTTGTGTTGCTGCTGCCATTTGTGCGCCGATAGCTGCCGCTGCCAGAGGCGACAGGAGCAATTGTGTTGAGGTCGTGCCATCTGCCGCGGTTCTTCCTCCCAGCATCGCATGTGCTGGACTGCTGTTGTTCCTGGGACTTGTCAGCGGTGCTGCTCTCCGTTGCCGTTTCCTTGCCGAGCCGGTTGGGGGTTCGGCCGGGTCATGCAGACATCTTTCCCACTTGCGTCTGCTGACGGGGTTGCTTGGGGGTCGGTGGCACTTCGATGCAGCCCTCGGGCCCTATGACGGAGCGCCGCTGGTTGACGCTAGCTTGTCTTCAGAGGAGGAGGACGAGGCCTTCCTCCGCATCGGATGCGTTGTACTCAAGGTTGGCTACACACCTGAGCTTGCCTCAGTTGCAGCAAGGCTGCCGGCGACTGAGGCTGAGCTTGTTGTGAGTGTTCAGGCAGTCAGGAGCCCTGATATTTGCCGTCTGTTCCCTGGCTTGCAGCCAGTCCTGCCTCAGCCGGTTGCAGGCAACGCCTTCTTCATCGCTACGCCTTCTTGGAGTGCAGACCAGCACGCGGTCTGTTTCTCGACCGCCGCCGTTGATGGGCGGGTCTTCGCCGTCCACGCTCCTGATTATGCTGCTAGGCACGAACTCCTTTGGCTAGCATGCTTGGGACATAATGCAGAAGTTGACATCTTTGTGGGAACCGACACTGTCCCGTTGGTTGATGAAACGCCTGTGCATTTGTTCCCTGCAGCACTTGTGTCCTTCGTTGCCAAGGGAGCAGGAGCACCCACACATCGGACCCTTGGGGAAAGCCTCAGGGGACACGGGGGTTGGATCCCTGATCCTAACTTACCTGCTGCGCCTGTTGCCAACGCGTTTTGTGTGGTCCAGCCAGGGGCGTCTTTCCTGCACTTTTCGCCCCCGGATCCCACCAGGTATCGTGCCGCACTTGCCCAGGCCACAGGTTTTATGCTTAGTGCTCTGCAGGTTCAGGCTGCGCAACCTCGGCCCACCGCTGGCAGTCACAGAGCCCCCTCGCGTCTTCGTCAACAGGCCATGGCATTGCTGTTTGCTAGATTGCCGGCAGATTCAGGACTCCTGGCGCATGATTCGGGCCCATGAGGGTAGGGTGCACCTACCTGATCTACTGGAAACCCTGAATGAAGAGGCGCCTAGAGGTTGGCAAGCACACATCCCTCTCCTGCCTGATGTCCAGGGTTGGCTCAATACCCGACCGGGACAGGTGCTTGTTGTCGAGTATGCACCCGCCTCTGGCCCCCCGGGCAGGGCTCCTCACCTCGAACCCGACACCGGTCAGGTTGATACAAACCTTGGTGCTTCGCGGACTCCTGCTGAGGGTTCGGCGCCTGGGGGCACGTCTGCTGGGACGCCAGCTGCCACCACTGTCGATACTCCCACCTTTGGTGGAGGCGCTGCAGCTCAGGATTCTCAGATCCCTTTCCTACTGTTTGCACAGGACTGCTGGCCAGAGCATGTCCTTGCCTATGTCCCGGTTCCGATTACGCCTGCTGAGGCTTTTGGAGTTGTTGCTCAGGCCAGGGAACCGGAGGCCCACAGGAAACGGCCGAGAATTGCGGAAGTTTACCCGCAGCCCAGTTCTGGCCAGGTTTATGCGCTTGCTTTGCCACTCTGGGGGTATGATGGCGTTGCTGTGTTAGTTGACTGCCGCTTCCCGCTTGGCCTCACCTTCGCCGTTGTGCTGCCGAGCATCATCCGACGGGAAGCAGTTCTCAGGATCCTTGATCTTGAACCTTCATCCGTTGCCCGAGTCTTTATCCGAGACATGCCCTGGCCCCTTCAGGAGGGGGACCGGGTTGAGTTGTCGGAGGGAGATCTCATCACTGTGCTCGGTGAGGCTGGGGCGCCTGGGCCCCCGCTTAGCACTGCCTCCATGCTCAGGCGGCCAAGAGTCTGGGAGGCCTACCCCTCCCTAGGAGGTGCACAGGGCAACGTATCCTGGATTCTTTCTGATGGGCCTTCTGCTGCTGTCGCAGTCGACAGAGATCTTTTCGCGTCCAGCAGCTCGGGTGCTGCAGCGTCACTGCAACTCACCGCAGGGCTTTTCACTCTTGTGCCGACAGCCCCTGACATCTACGATCACGCCAGGTATGGGGTCTTGTCGCATGGAGTTCTTCTTGCGTGCCAGACTTGTGACTTTTCACCTGGCGAGCAACTCGACAAGATCCCCTTTGCTTTAGATTTACGGCCAATCCTGCTCCCTATCACCTGGTCATATGCTGTTAACGGGATCTTGGATGTCGCTGTGCTATGCGGCCGTCTCAAACACCGGTGCCCCAATGGCTTCCATGTACGCCTCTATGGGGGGGGAGCTTGTCGACCAAGGCAATCACTTCCGACGTGTCAGGACTGGAGAAGTGCTCACTGTGGAGTTTCAGCCAAACTACATGCTTGGTTTGCACGTTGAAGACTACCCTCCTTTTCCTCCTGCCAATGCACTCGCCCTACCTGAGGCCGACCAGGACCAGGGCGGGGAACAGGCATCCTCATCGACATCTTCGCGAGCCGACGCTGGCACTGGGGCCTCCCAGAGGCACTCAGCCAGCGGTAATGAGGCCGGCAGTGGGTATCAGCATCGTGCCTCACCCGAGCCTCCGTTCTCGCTCAGCGCCGACCTTGACGGTTGCCGCAGTTACTTATTCTTCCTTTCCGCCGCCGTCCTGATGTATATGTGGGGCTGGGTTCCCAACTTCGACTTTCCTACTTCGGAATCACCCAGCGCCACCTCTGTTTTCCAGGCCAGGAATAGGACTAGTCCTTCTCTTTGGCGGTTTTGGGGTTTTAGTGGCTGTAGCGCCCTGCTACTCGGCGTTTGCAGTGGGCATGCCAATAGGATAGGCGATTTTCCCTGTCCCGCCATTGTCTCCCTGTGCTTGCTTTCAGGGTTTATTGGCGTAGAGGGCATGCCCGTGACTGGCACCAGCGACAGTATGCATGAGCTTCGGCTCTCTGCCTTCTGTACGTTTGAAGCTGCCACGGTCGATTGCGGTGGCTCAGGTGTCCCTGCAAGCAGGCCTCGCTTATTGGGAGTGCCGACGCCGGCCCGGTCGTGTGCCCCTCCTCCTGTGGTTGATGTTGGCGGTATTCCTAGCTCCCTGCCTGCAACTGAGGCTACTGGAGCTGCTGAATATGTCACTCTTTTAGAGGAAAGTGTTGCTCAACAGAGCTGCCCGGCCTTCTTCCTTGCCTGCACACTTCTTGAAACTCTCACCGAGCACTTCCAAGGACCCGGCAATGCTCTTGTAGGGCGTGCCCTCCGCCTTGCTGAACATTTGCCGTCTGCTGTCACGGTTGACCTGTCCTCGGTCTCCCTTCCACTCAGACAGTCACTTGACCAGGTTGTCAGATGGACCCTACCTGGTGCATGGCCGCTCAGCAAGGACCTGCCCAAGGGTCTGCAATTGCCTGCTTGTGTCAAGCGCTTCCTTTCGCACTGCGAGTCGGGAACTGCCACATTCTTTGAGGGGCTTTCGGTTTACACTGATGGTTCTTTTGATGGCAATACAGCCTCCTGGGCGTTTTGTGTCTTCGGACTTGCCTATGGTAAGCTCTTCTTCCTTGGGTGGGCCGCAGGCCGGGTACCTACTAAGGCCGGGGACGCGCTCTCCCTCAGAGCTGGTAATGCCAGTGCCCTGTGTGGGGAACAGCATGCCATCCTTTGGGCTGCCACTTGGATGTTGCAGTGCCCTTCGCACTTACGGTCCAGCATTCTTTCGGACTGCCTGGTAGCATTGAGCCAGGCGACCGGTGTTTACGGATGGTCTGATACGGAAGGCATAGCACCGCTTTGCCGTGCCGCTATGCAGGCCGCCTGTGCGGCTCGACCAACTTTAGATCAGAGCATTTCTCATGTCCGCTCCCACCAGGGATGCCCGCCCAACGAGCTCGCGGATGTGCTCGCAAAGCATTTTAATGCCGGTGGAGAAGAGACTCCCAACCCACATCAGGTTTGGGTAGCCCAGCGGATCCGAGAGGGTGCACTTGAATGGCTGTGGGTACAAATTGAAGCCGCCATCACTCCAGAGCACTGGCCCACGCAGGTCGGATCCTCGCTTGTAGATCATTGTCGTCACAGTGATGCAGAGCCACTCACGGCGTCTGAGTGCCGCCGTGCCTTTGGGTTAGATGATGTTCAAGAACCCTCGCACTGCGTACCTACTGTCCACGTTTCCCTTCGCATGATCACTATTAATGTGCAGTCGCTCTCTGATCAAGGATCTGCTGCCACAACCCCTCCGCCTGAGGAAGGCTTCACTGGCAGGGCCAGGTACCTCAGGGAGCAGTTGCAACACCAGGGCATCCAGGTTGCCGCCCTGCAAGAGGCCAGGTCCCCAGAGGACGCTACACATGTCTCACAGACCCATGTGAGATTCTGCACTGCCAAGGATACGGGCGGTAACTTTGGTTGTGAACTTTGGTTCTCACGCACCATCCCGTTCATCGGAGGTAGGGGCACTCAGGGGTTCTTTCACCCCAAGGATTTTCTCACCCTATACGCCTCCCCGCGTGAATTGCACGTCCGTTTTTCTCGTGCAGGACTCCAAGTGCTGTTTGTCTCCCTACATGCTCCGGTAGCAGGGAGCCCGGGTCGGCAAGAATGGTGGAAATCCCTCTTCGAGCGCATTTTGCGGTTTCGTCGAGGGGCTGCTGTTGTACTGGCAGGAGATTACAATGCCGGATTCAGCACTCAGCTTAGTGGTTTGGTTGGAGATTTGGTGTGGCCGACCAAACATGACACACCAGCTGGACTCCTTGCAATATTACAACAGTGCGGCCTTTGGGTCCCGAGCACATTCAGTGAGTGTCATTCTGGGCAACATGAGACCTGGGTGTCGCCTAGTGGCACCTCAGGGGCCAGGCTTGACTACTTCTCGCTGCCCACTTATTGGGGCGTTGCCCCGAAGAGCACATGGATCGACGCTTCGATTGACTGGGGCCAGTCTAGGGCCGATCACTATGGACTTGTAGTCCAGACGCACTTTCAGGCTAGAGCTGCGCCACAATGCAAGCGTAAAGGAGTGCGTCTTGACAGAGAGGCCATGTGCACAGCTGAAGGCAGAGTGACCGTTGCCGCAATTTGCCATGGCTTGCCCCTGCAACCTTGGACAAGTAATGTGCATCGGCACTATGCTGAGCTTGAGCGTCACCTGACTGCTGCTCTGTCGATCGCCTTCCCATGCCAACGGGGCAATTGCCGCACTTCTTATTTTAGTACGGCTACCTGGGAAATGAGACAAAAAAGATCATGGTTGCGACGACAAATTGCCAAGGAGCGCAATTCTCTCAGGCTTGCTGAGGCACTTGCTGCTCTTTGCAGCCTTAACCGGGCTTTGCCGGTTAATGTGGGCCGAATTCTTGCCTTCTTCCCGATTATGCGATCCGTCCGAAGGTTTGCTGCGCTTGTTGCTGATATGCAGAAGGCCAAATGCAGTCTGAAACACCTCATCAGAAGTGACATCCACCGTAGGATCTCTGAGACGGCTGCCACCGCAGCCGCTATCCCAACCGCTGATGTCGTGACCAGGCTCCGCCCCCTCCTTGGCCCGGCTAAGCGCAAGGCCCACAAACAACAGGCTCTGCAGTCTGTCTGCCGTGCCGATGGCACCGTCGCTCAGACCCCAGATGAGGCCGAAGACCTTTGGGTCAAGCATTTCGCTGGCATCGAGGCAGGTGTCTGCATAGATCCAGTAGTCTTTGCCCGAGAGGTACAGGCGACACAGACAGGCAAGGATTTAGACGGTTACTGTCTTACCACGGAAGACGTACCATCTCGCCTAGAGCTTGAAGACTCACTGAGGAGGACTCAGACGGGGCGGGCTTTTGGACTTGACAACGTGCCAGGTGAGGTTCTGCACGTCGCCGCGGGAGCCTCCTCCCGCGCCCTTTACCAGCTGTTTTTGAAGATGTCGCTCCGAGTTGCTGAGCCGGTTCAATTCAAGGGAGGGAGTCTTTTCGCAATCTGGAAAGGGAAAGCAAGCACCTCTCAATGTTCGGCCTACAGAGGCATACTCGTCAGTTCGTCTCCTGGCAAGGCCTTCCATCGCACAGTGCGAGGCCGCTCAGTCGGCCCCCTGCGAGAGTTTGGCCACGACATGCAAATCGGAGGACTGCCTAGGTTCCCGGTTGTCATGGCATCACACTTTGTAAGGCTCTTTCAGGAAGGCAAGCACCATCGGAGAGAGAGCTACGGCCTTCTCTTCCTGGACCTCCGTGAGGCCTTCTACAGGGTGGTCAGGCCCCTTCTCGTCGGCTCTGCCTGCCACGACGAGGAACTCGCCAGGGTCGTCCAGGCCGTTAGGCTTCCTCCTGAGGTCATGCATGAACTCCATAGGCATCTCAGCTCTCGTTCGGTCCTTGCTGAGGCCGGGGCCTCGCAATGGACCGAGGCGTGCATTGCCGAGGCATTAGACGGCACATGGTTTAGGTTCCAGGGTGGTGAGCGTGTTGTCCGCACCGGAATCGGATCCCGCCCAGGGGACAACCTTGCTGACGTCTGCTTCTCGTTCATCTTCGCCAAAGTACTCAAATCCGTCCAGGATGAGCTTCGCTTTCAGAGAGCCCTGCCGGAAATCCCCTGGTCTCCACTGATGTTGGGGAACATTTTCCCAGTCGAAACCGACAACGTTGACACAATTCACCCCTTGGACTCTACTTGGATGGATGATGCCTCCTTCCTTGTTGAAGCACCCTCCGCCCGGGACCTGCCTTCTGTCTTACAAATCATGGGCAGGGCTGTTATCGACTCCTGTGTTGCCAGAGCACTTCTTCCTAACTTGGATAAGGGTAAAACTGAGTTCGTCGCCAGTCCTGTCGGACCGGGCTCCAGGGTTGTACGAGCTGAGCTCTTTTCAGGGCAGGAGCCCAAGCTCTGCTTGGGATGCCGTCTCTGGCCGTCTGCATCGGTCCGTTTGGTGCCTACCTATCAGCACCTTGGCGGCTTCATCCATCATGATGCCACTCTCTCGCGTGAGCTGAGACATCGGGTTGGTCTTGCTTGGAAGGCCTTCAATGATAGGAAGAAGAAGGTCTTCGCCGCCCCTGCCGTTGGACGTCGAGATAAGGTCGTGCTCTTTGAGTCCCTTGTGCTGACCATCTTACTGTACGGGGCTGGTTCCTGGTGCGTCCTTGGGAGCCGGGAGTTGGCCATTCTGACCACAGCATACCACAGCATGGCGTGCCATATGCTCAGGCCGGAGTTCCCTTACGAGCGGGCTATCCATTTGAGCCGTAGCCGAGTCTTGGCTCTTCTCGGTCTCCCCTCCATGCCGGTGTTGCTGCATGTTGCGAGGCTACGGCACTTGCTCTCGTGCCTTACGACTGCTGTGCCTGTTATGTGGGGCATCATGCACTGGCACGGTCATTGGCTTTCATCTGTTCGCGCCTCTGTTGCGTGGCTTTGGAGCCAAATAGATAATGGCGTCAACACCACTTGTTGGCAGGCTGCCTGGGTTATATGGAAAGACTGGTGTGTCCATCAGCCGAGGCGATGGAAGGGCCTTCTCCGAAGTGCCCAAGCCCAGGCTGTTCGACAGGAAAAGTGGGCCTCTTCTGCGGGCCACCACCTTGGACTACTATGTCGACAGCTTCGACAGGCAGGAGCTACCCTCCCGACTGCCGAGGTGGACTCCTCAGGTCAACCGCATTTTTGTGCGCCCTGCCATAAGGTCTTTGCGACGTATCAGGCCTGGTCCGTACACGCATTTAAGACCCACGGGCACACTGCAGAATATAGACAAGTACAGGGGGGAACTCAATGTCAGGCATGCCTTAAGCACTTCACCACGCACGTCCGGCTCTGCCGGCATCTGCAACATTTTCCTGCTTGTAGACAGCAGCTCCGAGAGGCAGGCTATAGGTGCAGAGCCGAGCCGGGTGTTGGTAGCAGGAAGGCCCCTGACGAGGGCAAATTTCAGGCCCCCTCCCTCCAGGTCGAGGGGCCTTTGCTGCCACTACGTGGTACAGACTGGCAGGATTTCCTTGAGCGACCTTCTATCGAGGTCTTAGACTGCTTGGGTCATATCTCTTTCGGTCTGGACGGGGACAGTGCTGATGTTCCCACGGCATGGGATAGGGCCCGCATTGCGTTCTCCTCCGTGTGCTTGCCCGTCCGTAAGATTCAGGCCACTGCCCGAGCGTGGTTGTCTATTTTGGAAGATAACCCTCCTGGTGGCGTCTTTCCCACAGTCACTTTGCAAGACATTGCGCGTTGGATTTTGACCGCCGAACTCGCGGAGTGGTTGGTCCCTCAGCCCACCGGCAGGGTAAGCCGGGACAACACCTTCCAAGATGCACAAGAGGTACTGCCTGCACTACAGGTCACTGGCCTGTCACCGCCTGTCCCTGCAACGACAGGAGCTTGGACCGGTGTTAGAGTCGGATCCTCGAAGTGGCTGTCGAGTTTTTGTCCTGTTCTTGGGTCATCCATCGACTTTACCCACTCAGAGTGTCTGCAGGCTTTTGCCGAGGGTGGACTTCCCTCCTTTATCGAAGACCATGGACTTGACACCGTCTTTGTGGTCTCTATTGGCGCCCTCCCGACTTGGCAGGATTGTCCACAACCTCCGGTACGCCACAAGGCCTTCAATCCCTCGCTTGCCAAAGCCCTCCTCGCCGGTGACCTGCTGCGTTTCGTCCTCCGCCTTTGGCTCCTGGGCGTTCCTGCAGCTCTTTGCACAGATCGGAAGGATGCGGTTCCGTCACCAGTCTGTTCTTTGCCTTTCCTCCACTGTGTTGAGAAGAAAGGCCTGACAATCTGGATGACCAGGGCTTTTCAGTGGGGGCCCCTTCTGTTTCACCTTCTTAATTAGTCTTGTTCTTGCAACCACAAGGGCTGCATCCGCTGACGGATTCTACGCCCGAAATGAGCGAAATGAGCGATATATATATATATATATATATATACGCAGTATTTGAAAGCTCTGTGGCTCACATATGTCTGAAAACCCCGAGGTCTTTCCCAATGGCGAAGTGCAGCATGTGGGTGGTGGGGCGGCCCAGATCTGTGGATGAGGGGAGCGTTTGAAGTGCATGTTATGTTTTTTGGGGTTCAGGGCTTTATAAGGTTTGATATTTAGGTTCTCTCTTGAGGACGGGGAGGCGGCTACTCGTGAAGCCTGTTATGAGGGTCTAAAAGCGCTTCCCTCTATTCTGCAATTCCAATCCCAAAGGGTCCAAAGTGCCTTATTATATAGTAGAATGTAGGTGTAGGGTTTCTATGTTAGGAATTGTTAATTTGGATTTGGGAAAGTATCCCCCATAGCAGTACCTAGGACCCTTTGGGAATGTGGCCCTTCAACCGGCCAAGCTTCAGACGCGAGGCGCTTGAACCCAACAGCGGCAAACAACCTGTGATGGCACCTACTTAAAGGATCATGGGACTTAGTAAGTAGGGGTATAATTAAGGTAACTATACTTATAACCCCAGTTAGGGGACTTATAACCTTACTTACTAAGTCCCATGATCCTCCAAGTAGCAATCCCTCGTGAAACCCTGTAATGGCTCACAACAACAGTGCTGATATCATCACCTGAACCTGTCAACATTTTAACAGTCCTTGGAAAGCTGTATCACATCTGTATTTATGTTGTTATTCTTTTGATCGGGATGCCGACCCCCGATGCAGTCGTCATAGACGGCTAAAGATGAAGAAGGTTTGTTTGTTTGCTGTTGGGCTTAGCGCTTAGGCCTTGGCCTTCAGCTTTGCGGCGTAGCCCCTAAGACGACACTTCAGCGTTTGAATTCGGGGTTGTAGCTTCAGGAGGCATTTGTGCAGCAGGCCCCCCTCTATGGTACCCCTATAACACTCAGTCTAGTCTCACAACCTTTTGAGCTTTAGAGCTTGAATTTCGGGTTTGGAATTGTGCTTGGGCTTACACACAACAGCGCAGCCACTTTCAGCTGAGCCTAATGGCTCATAAGTGAGAAACTTTTACCTCCAATATATTCAAATCACATGAAGGAGATAATTTTTGTCTTTGGGAGGTGGCTTCACCGGGGGCCGACCAATATACTTCAGGTATTCTCTGCTGTTCTTCCGGGGTGTCAAGAGCACCGCACGCGTAGAATTGCCCCCATGCTAGATCGGCTGAATGGATGGATCTGTGCTGTCAGCCGTTGCAGCCCCGAGTGCAACCCCTCGCAGATCTGTGATCACGGCGATGATGCTGCTTGGTTGCCCAGTTGTAACATGTCTCACTCTGTCTTGTTATGTTGTTTTGGCGCTGGCGTTGCGAAAAGAACAGGACACAGGGAGTCATATTCAGCCCTGAACCCGAAATCATACACAACCACCTAAACAATTTAGGCCCCGAGCCCTCCCTAAGCCCTAAACCCTTTAAACCACCAGCTAACAGATCTCTCTTTCTAAGGGTCCATGTGCTCATATAGTATATACATTGGCCTTAATGTAGTCCCTATATAGGTACTTTAGGACCCATGTATATGCTATATGAGTACATGCCCAGACCCCCAAAAGGATCTAAAAAATAGATCTCCTAAGGGGGTTCCTATAAAGTACCCTTCAGTAGTTAGGGTCCCTAACTAGGGCATCTATTTTCTAGATCTTTTTGGGGGTCTGGGTAGGTACTTTAGGGCCCATGTATATGCTATATGGGTAGTTGTCAAAATTGTCCCTTTTAGGGTACCCTAAATAATAGGTGCCGTATTATAATAAGGACCCCAAAAGGGACCATAATTTTGACAACCACCCATATGAGTACATGGACCCTTAGGGTTTCTGCTACCTGGCAACCAGGCTGAATCAGCCGAGATCATCAACGTACCCGTGTCAGCGCTCAAAGTTCTGGACCCAGGCAGAGCCAGCATATGATAGGATCCCATAAGGGGCTATAGGGTTCAAGCAAAGGGTCTCTTTAAGGGGACTATGGGTTTCTAGCATAGGTTCCCCCTGAAGGGGCTATAGTATACCTTTGAATTGTGGTTGTGTTTTGTTTTTGTTTTCATGGTCTGGCGTGTGGGTCTCTAATCAGGTGCGTCTTCTTCCGATGATCTGTACGACGAATTCTGCGACGAAGCTGAGCTTTGGGCTGACTTGAACGGACTTTGGTATCGACAGAAAGACAATCACTGTGTCGGAGAAATGTTCGAAGGCAGCTTGATTTGGCATGTACAGTGGAACTTGCCGAAGGAAGTATCCAATTTGCAAGTGCTTTCGCCAGATACAATTACTCTTGGTATTCAAGATGAGGTTTTACTGGGCAAAGTACAACGGCACGCGCAGACCGCAATTCACTGGAGTGACGGGGATGTTTGGCTACGGAAGTGAGGCTTTCCACGCCCTCGCACTTCTATGCAGATGACGGTGTGAGCTGCCCAAGAGGCCAGTACTTTCCCAAGCCACTAGGTCCCTGCGGTAATACGTACTTATGCAGTTCTATTTGTGTGCTTCCTCACTACCTCAGAGGACGTACAGAAAAAGGATTCCTTCATCGCCCTCATTATCAGGGACTTGGTGGCAAACCTCGGGCCCAGTGCAGCTCGAACAAAGGCTTCTGAGTCTGTAGTGCTGTCCTGTTGCCGTTTTGAAGAAGTGCCTCTCGCATTCTGGAGAATCCAGCGTGCGAAGGCTTGAACCCTCCAGACCCTAAACTCCGTACTCCCGCAGCCGGAAACCACATGCCCCATGAGCTCCAGCTTCATGCTCACCGCACTAACCCTAACCCCTAAACCCTAAACCCTAAACCCTAAACCCTAAACCCTAAACCCTAAACCCTAAACCCTAAACCCTAACCTTCTCCTGCGAAAGTTCTTGCCTTGAAGCTCTGGCGGCGGCTGCTGCGCAGTATGAAAATGCACCAAACCCTACACCCTAAACCCTAAACCCTAAATCCTAAACCCTAAACCTAAAACAGCTTCTGGGAGTTCCATCGATTCCGTGCCCCCCTGCCCCAAGGGTCCCTTTAGAAAATACAGAAATCAGCTGTGTATAAGCCTAGGATTCACAAACAATTCCAAGTATAGTCCCAACATGTTGCACTAATCAGTCAGGCTCCTACATCCTTTGCTCCTCTGGATACTGATCAAGAGGACCTTGCTGAGACTGGTCTGCCTGCTGTGAAGGCCCCCTGATACGAAACCCTCAATCCCCATCTGCAGCCCCCTAGTTAAATCCTTACTCAACAACGAGATAACATGCTACATAACAAATAAACCAAATACTACTAAACATGCATCCGTTAAAGTCGCAAACCCTCTAATGCTGAAGCCATCTGTAAAACCCTTTAACACCCTACTTGCCTAAACAACCCTAAGGCTCCATGTGCTCATATAGCATATACGTGGGCCCTGAAGTACCTATATAGGGACTACATTAAGGCCAATGCTTTTACTATATGAGCACATGGACCCTTAGGGATTAGGGAAAGCAAAACCCTAAACCCTCAACCCTAAACCGAGGTGCTTCTAGCAGTGGATGGCTCAGCCTCAGCGGCATTGCCTTTGCGCCGGCCCCTGGGGGCCGCCGCAAGCTGCCGTACCAGAACGGAGTCTCGACTCGGCTTAGGGTTTAGGGTTTAGGGTTTAGGGTTTGGGGTTTGGGGTTTGGGGTTTGGGGTTTAGGGTTTAGGGTTTAGGGTTTAGGGTTTAGGGTGGGGGTTTCCGAATAGAAGCGGTACCTTATTTTGGGGGTCCTGATACTAAGGATCCTACGATTTAGGGTGCTATACTTAGGAGCCCAGTAGGTAAACTTTAAACTTTTTGGTATATTAAACTCCCTAGTAAAAGAAAAGTTTAAACTTTTTTGGGCCAGGGTACTGGGCTTCAAGGTATATTCGGGTCCCCTATTTTCGGAAACCCCCATGTTTCGGGTTCATTGCCGTCTTTTAGGCGTAACTTGAGGGGTTTGTTGGTTTCAGATAGTTACGGCCCGTGAGAAACAAGGTGTACTAGGATACCGTCTAGGCTATGAGGACCGTCTTGTTGCAACTTCCCGGCTCAGGATGTAAAGTTTAGGGAGTAGGAAGGTTCGTGCGTCCTACAGTGAAAGCTTGTCAGGACCTTTGCCATCGGAGACATCAAGGCCTAAAGATTCCACAGTTACTATAAGGACCCCAAGATAAGGTACCCCTTCTTTTTTTCGGAAACTCCCAACCCCTTCTTTTTTTTGGAAGCTCCCATATCATGGAGGGTTGAGGGCTTGGTGCTTTGGGAGTTTAGGGTTTACGATTTAGAGTTTCCTTGTTTGAGCCCTAAACCCTATACCCTAAACTGTAAACCCTAAACCCTAAACCCTAAACCCTAAACCCTAAACCCTAAGACCTAAAGCCCTAAACTGTAAACCCCAAAGCCTAAACCCTGAACTCTAAACCCTAAAGCCTAAACTCTAAAACCCTAGCCGTGAATCACGACAAAGCCGAATCCCCAGAGCAAGCTCAAAGTTCCTTCCACTTCGAGCCTCGCAGAAACTCCTAGAAAAGTTGAGGGTTTAGGGTTTTAGGTTTTAGGGTTTAGGGCCCGGAAAATCCCTTAAACCCTAAACCCTAAACCCTAAACCCTAAATTTAGGGCCCGGAAAATCACTTAAAACCCAAACCCCCAGGCCTTCGACCCTGAAGCCCCAAGCCCCAAGCCCCAAAACCCCCAAGCCTTCAGCAAACTTTTGGGTTTAGGGTTTAGGGGTTCATGTAGGTGCCCCAACACAGGGCCCTAAACCCTACAGCGTTCTGTTTCGGGTCCGGAAATACTGTTGAAGCTATAAGTCCTGCATTACGTTAAGGACCCCAAACTATGGGAATTATGGTATCTGCCTTATTTTGGGTAATGCAGGATTTATATCATCAACCTTAGGAGGGTCAGCGACTGAGGACCGGCTTGCATTCAGGCTTGGTCGTCTCTCGGCGGCGGAGATCCTTTTTTTGTTGGTGGGTTGAGAGCTTAGAGGTTTAGGGTTTAGTTAGGCTTTTAGGATTTAGGGTTTAGGGGTTTAGGGTTACGAACGGATTTAGGGGTTTAGGCTATCAGGGTTTTGGTCTTTGGACGGGGCTGGGCAGGAAGGTTCCTCCTCTACGGGGTTTTGGAAGGTCAAAACCCTGTGTCAAACATCCGGTCCCGTATAATGCAGGGGCCTAAATCATTACCAATACTATTTTGGGTGGCTCCTTATTAGATTTATAGTACAATGGGCCCCAAAACCCTGGCCCCTATTACTCTAAACCCAAACCCTAAAGCCGTAATTAGACCCTAAACCCTAAACCCTAAAACCCTAAGGCCTAAACCGCGTGCTGAGGTGTTGTGGATATTTAGACGGGCTAAGAAGGGCTTCCGTCTCCGAGTTCTGCAAGCAAAACTACGGCTTCAACTGCCAGGGAACTGTGCATACCGGAGCTGTCCCATGACGATGTGCTTACAACTTGCGCTTCCGATGTGGTAAGTCTGTAGTGATCCTCATAACACATCTTGCTAACCTTGTCAATAAAGAGACAAGCGTCCAAGAGAGTCCCGGGTCAACGGCCCTAGTTGCAGCCACCCACTTGCAAACGTGCCGGGTGCTGTCCCAGCAATTATGCCCCTAAACGCTAAACCCAAGACCCCAAAACCCAAAACCCTAAACTGGTTGGTCTGCAAGACCTACAATTTACCGAGTTGAGGACTTATCAGGAGGTCTAGAAGACTACAATTTGCTAAATCAGGGGGTCGACGGGTTCGACTCTACATATAGTTTCCATTCTAGTTCCTTTTTTTAACCAACTTTATGGTCAGGACCCTATAATCTAAAGTGGTTAACCAAACAAAGGAACTACAATGGAGACTATAGGTACATATTGGCAAAGTGGGTGACAAGACCGTAGAGCCTAAACCTCACAACCCTGAACCCCAAACCCACACTCCGAAATTAAAATCCAAACCCTGAGCCCTATAAGCCTTAACCCGAAAAACCCTAAAAAAAACAAACACCCCCAACCCTAAACCCTAAACCCCAAACCCCAACAGCCCTGAGATCGATTTCGGCTACGATGCTGTGCGCATCATGCCGACCTTCGCCGGCGTCCCCGTTCTCTCGGCCTGCGCCGCGAGCTCAGGGTTTAGGAGTTACCCAAAAAACCATAGTTTAGGGTTTAGGGCTTAGGGTGACATAAATCCTGCATGAAACATAATAATGAATATATCCCATAGTTTAGGGTTTGGAGTTTAGGGTTTAGGGTTTAGGTTGATGATATAAATCCTGCATGACCCATAAGAAGGAATTTCTACCATAGTTCACATAGGCTAGGGTCCTTAAGGTAGTGCAGGATGCATACCATCAACCCTATCACAGGGAACTCTAGGGTAAGGTGGATGGTGGCAGGGGACTATACGTGTGTAAAGGCCCCCTATACGCCCCTCCCCCTTACCCCTCAATGCTTATGGATTTATGTTTAGGGTCTAGGGTTTGTAGCTTTAGGATTTAGGGTTCGGGGTTTGGGGTTCGGGGTCTAAGGGTTCAGGGTCTTAGGGTGGTAGGGTTCCGAGGTGTTTGCGGATAGAAAGCACAATTTCAACTCTTTTCTGAGATGAAGTACCACTTAGTTCAGGAATGTTTTGTCCGAAGTCTAGTATAGGGTATAGAGCTTCTTACTCGTACTTATCAGTGGAATGCAAGCTCAGCCTTTACTTCAAAGCGAATTGGGCTCTGGGTTCCACGCTTGGGAACTCCACCGTATCGGGCCCCCAGGCACGAGGAAAGGTCCTCTTCCTTCTTTTTCTCATCATCTTTTACTTCCTCTCTTAGGAGTCGCAGCGGCAGTCATAATCACAAGAGAAACCGGGCTTTGGAGTATCATATATATATATATATATATTGATACTTTTTTCGGTACCTGTTCCTTAAAGGAACCATTATGAAATATAAGTCTATGCTCTTTTTCTCCCCGGTTGCTTCAAAACCCAGGAAAGATCTGCAGAGACCAGTCTCCTTTTCCCATCCTTTTCTCCCGATGCCCAAACCCTGAGACCCTCAACTCTAAACCCCTAATACCCTACACTCGAATACCCTGTGCCTAAACCCTAAACCTTATACATGTAATGCCCTAAGCCTTAAATCCCTAAACCCTAAACCCTAAACCTTACATGTAATGCCCTAAGCCTTAAATCCCTAAACCGTGAACCTAAACCCTAAACCACCTTTAAGGTAGCACTGCGTGCGCTGGTAGCCAGGTGGAAGCAGCTTGCGGCTCCCGGCGTCTGCTCGCAGCAGCCTGGCATTCTGACTAGGAGCAATCGAAGCCCAAAGGGTCCTACGGCTGATGCCATAAATCCAGGGGCAAGGGGAGGAGGGTATAGGGGGCCTTTA